TCCTCCACGAGCTCCGCAGTGCTGGGTGCTGCATGATCCTCTTTGGTGGCAAAGATGATCGTGTCTTTACCTGTTGTGTGAAATAGAGCATTTTAAATAAATCATCAGGAAGGTATCAAAACTTTTTCCTGTCGTTGGTTTTTTTTTTGCCATATATAAGTCAAAATTTTGAATTGAACATCTCAAAATTTCCACTTATTAAATGGAATTTTTTACGAGATAACATGAAATGCCGGCTTACTTATGACTGGCAGTTTCTTGTATCTTTTTCCAGTGGAGGAAACGAGCTTCCACAGGAGATGATTGGTGGAGTTATTATTTTGTTAACACACTTAAAACAATGCTCGGCAATTCTTAACAGACTCTCTGAAGTGAAGATTTGCTGCTTTCTTTCTTTTTCGTGTTTTGTTTGTTGGTGTTTTATACAATTTTCTTTGAATCATTTAACAGCCAATAAAAGATTATTTGAAGTTATCACTCAAAGCACTTCAAACTAAATCCCAGGATTTTTTTCCAAGGACTTAAGAGCTTTATCTGGCATTGAGTCTTCCGAAGTATACAGAGAAAACCCCATAGACACAGCAAAAACATGAAGACGAAGATAAACACTCTTCCGGGGTAAGCTGAGAAAATCTCTGTCTGTCTGTCCTTCTCCCAATCTGTGATGTGTCTTCTCTGCTATCTGTTATTCAAGTTCCATCAGCATTGTGTTCTAGCACGCTATACAATGAAACTGTTTTCTCTGACACACATCTGTTCCCACAGTACGTGTTTACTGGTTGATATGAATGGGGAAATGTATAAAACAGGCTCAGCGGGACTGCCCTGGCAAGCACTCGCATACACTATTACTCTGTACTGCTTTTCCTCCCTTGCAAGTGAATAAACATAAAAGAGATTAAACTGACTTTGATTAAAACAGAGACATGAAGAGGGGTCATTATATCATAAAGGCACCTGAGCTGCCATTTCAGTGAGTGTGCAAAGTTTCCTGCCACTCCGTTGCATGCACAAACAAGCTTGCAATAAGCTAGTTTCATTTAGTTAAGTTCACATAAATTTAATACTGATAAATAGAAAAGGTAGTTACGAGCGTTTAACAGTTGTGATTATACACAGTTATATAATAAAGAATGTTCTCTTCCCACCTTTAAATGAAACATATTTGTGTGATGATAATTATTATTATTATTATGTGTGATTATAAACTCTTATCTCCAAGAACTTGTGTGCACTCTCCCTGTTCTCTGAAACATTAACTAAGGATTAATAAGCCACGTAATCATAGCTTATACATTACGAATTCAGCTGTAGTTCATTATTTATTATAGGCACTTTTCCCCCACTAAATAACTAAACTTAATCTACAGCATAGCCAATAAGGGCTGTGTAGTGTAAAAGCATCTTAAAACCACACTTGGTGTGACGAATTACTTAATCTGCTACCATGACAGTCCAAATACTTTCATACACACCTTAAACTATAACTAGACTAGAAGTGACTTTCTAACGTGCTAATATTAGTCACTTTAATAATTACGGTGTGTTGCAGGCCTGGTGGACTGTAGCACGTTCTGGTCAAGGTTAAACTCTGACGGCCACAGGTGGCAGGCACTGTTGCCCTCTCAGGATAACTGTCCTAGCTCAGATCCTATGAGGGAGCTTCTTAATCCACCTTACTATTACACCAAGATTCATTTTTCATTCAGACTCAACTAAGCTTTAGAGAGTAGCTTTGCAGAAAAGTTAGCCGGCTATCACAGCATGCTTACCTTCCTGTCTGACCGAACTCATCTCTTCACGCCGAAGCACATTAACTTCCTCCTCTTGACTCCTTGAAACAGATGGCAGGTCACTGATGGTTGCGCCTTTTACTGACACACAATGCAACAAACGCAAATATCACAGCATCGCAAGTTTTAATCCATCCTTCGGAAGCTGTTTCACAACTATCCTTGCCAGAACGTGGTTACTCTTCTTCTCCGAAAGTGTTGCTGGGATCGTTCACGCCACGGTGCGCGTTGCTGCCTCCTGGAGTTCGTAACAGAAATATCCTCTTCATCTTGTGTTTGGACCACACTTTATTTCTGCGAAATTACATAAAATGTTATGCGCTTAATTATTGAATATTATTCAAGTAATTACAGGTAGTTTGGTACACATTAAAACTTTTATCCCTAAAGTTCGGTTGTATTACAAATCAATTAACGTCACTGAAAATAAGGGAATGAAGAGACAATATTACATCTTCTACTTTTTTAATGTTAATTACACACTCATATGTTAAACATATGAGTGTGTAATCAATATAAAATGATAAAATAGAGATTACAAAAAGAGCTTTCAAAAAATGTTTATTTTTGGAGTAAATATATTGTGAGTTATAATCACAGGTGTTAATGCACACTGAGGGAAAAATATAATTCAGCAAACTGTTTCACGCATCAAATGAGCAATACAGGGATGGCCAGTCGTAATACCAGTTATTCTGGTATCTAATTAAAAAAGAAATCCATTTGCTTTGCCCAAACCAAACACATGCTGTTCCTGAATAATACATTGTAGAAAATTAAAAATAATACTACTAATTAAAGATTATTACAAAAAAATTAATGAACAAATTACTGCATTAGCATTCACCATTGCTCAAGTCCTCTTTAATGAGGAAAAAGAGGAAATATCTGAAATATCTATTGAATAACTGATGCCCTGTGTCCAACAAATTACTTCCTTTGTCAAAATAACTTTTTCAGATCTTTAATGCTTAGCAAATACGTTATACTTCTCCCACAATCAAAGCTGTGGTATAGACTTTTATTTATTTTATTTTAATTTTTTTTTTAAGTTAACTAATTTATATTAGATTATATTTCATTTAAATTTATGTGTAATGTTGATGCAAATTGAATAAAAGAAAAAAAGAACAAAAAAAACCAGACAAATAAAATTTTTTAGTCGCAAATGTCATAAAAATGCTGAATGCACAAATGCTGAAAGAGAAGGAACAACAGGAAGCAATACACCAGGAGATGCAACGTAAGCTCCACGATGTGAAAACAATGCATGTTGAGAAAAAAAATGAAGGGTTGCAAACAAAATTTGATGAAGCACTCCATAGAAAAATAAAAATGCTGAAAGAAAAGGAACAGCAGGACTCAATACACCAACAAATGAAGTCTAAGCTTCAAGATTTGGAAGCAATACACCAGCAGATGCAGTGCAAGCTTCAGGTTACTGAGAAAAATAATGGAAGTTTGTGCGTAATGTTTGGTGAAGCGTTGAAAAGAAATACAGAAGTGGTTAAAGAGAAAGAACAGCAGGAGGTTATACACCAGCACATGCTGTGCAGGCTCCAAACCATGGAAGCATTACATCATCAGATGCTGTACAAGCTTCACATCACGGAAAAAAATAATGAAGGCTTACATGTAATGTTTAATGAAGCACTGAGACAAAACACAGAAATGTAGAAAGACAAGGAGCAAATGAAGCAATGTGCAAACAAATACAGGGCAAACTTCAAGACATGGAAGCAATTCAGCAAAAGCTCCAGAGCAAGCTTCAAGTCACCGAAGGTTTACACATAATGTTTTACTAAGCAATGAGAATTAATACTGAATACTGAAATGCTTAAAGAGAAAGGAGAAACAGCTATACACCAAGAGACTATGTGCAAACTTCAAGTATCAGAGAAAAATAATGAAGGTTTGCGTGTTCAATAAAGCACTCCAAAGAAATATGCAAATGCTTTAAGAGAAGGAACAATAGGAAGCAGTTCACCAACAGATGCAGTGCAAACTCAAAGACACAGAGAGAAAATGGAAGCATTACAAGAAATATTCGATAAAGAACTCAAAGAAAACTCAGACCTGCTAAAAGAGAAGGAAAAACTCCAGAAACCCAGAGAGAGATGCAGGATATTCTAAGACTTTGAAACATAAAATACAGAGTTGTGAGTATTAATAAAGGACAAAAACACTGAACTCAAGGAAGAGAAAGAGCAGCTTGAGAAGATATGCAGAGAAATAGAGCCAAATCCAAGAAGTGGTGACCAAAAACACCCAATTACAAGCACTCTACAGCAAAGTCCATTACGCAAACACCAAAATGCAAGAGTAAAAGCAATGACAGGAGAAAAATCTCAAAGACATACAGTCTTTATTTCAAGAACTACAGAAGAGACATGAAGAGTTAAAAGCCATCCATCACAAATAACAACAAAGAAACAAGGACATGCATGAGGCAAACGAAGAACTGCAGGAGAAAAACAAAGCCCTGCGAGAAAAGCAAAAGGAAAACCAGGAAACATTAGAAGAACTGGAGAGAAGGTGGAAGGTCAAGATGACATGCAGACGACATGCAGAAATGGAGAAGAACTGTGATGAAAATGACTTTGAAAATGGCATGGATGTTGGTGCAACAAGGTTGGTGCGCAGTCATTTGAATATTGCCTTCAGCAGCTTAGCGAACCAAACCCGAGATAACACCATTTTTCTTAAACCGCTGTTATGCTAAAGCAGGATTAGTTTAAGTTTCTTAATTTAATGACAACTATAATAAATTCTTATGGAAGCACACTTTCAAAAAAAAACTTACATTTTTTGAACAATTGTTCAAAATCGGACTTATCTACGTCTTACAAATATCAAAGTCCGATGTAAAGCTTTGCAGGCACTTGAATGTCCTACTTAGTATTATTCTCTAACAAAACCACATTATTTCATCATGTTTTTATACTGTCTATTTTCCTCTTTGAGTAATACTTTGGCAGTTTATGTGCAAAGACCAGAAACTCAAACTGAAACCACAGGTTTAATTCTGACAGGGTCCTGCGGGCTGATCTGTAAACCACCAGAGTAAAGCCATCATTTGTTAACAAATACATCAAAATATGGGAACTAAATCCACAATATTGTGGTGACATAAACATCACAAAAACCTCCCCAGATTCACCTGTATGTATAAAAAGGACATTCCAAGCAAATAGTTAAAAGTCAGTCTTTTTCCACAAAATGTTTTATTGAGAATGTTTTTTGTACAAGTTTGTTCTGAAATGCAATTATTTTTACATATTCAAAGACTTTATCTTACACTTAAGACAAATTCAAGTTATTTAATATATGGCCTATGTACAGTCTGTTTGGAAAAGTTATTATTGAAAGTACACAAAGCAGACAACTAAAAACAAAACAAGACATAAGACTGCATGATGTGGGTAACAAGAGTCAATGAAAGCTGTCATTTAATACTGAAGCTCCCCGGGAATGCCTTAAATTAAAAATGAGTTTTGAATGTTTCCCAGAGGTTGGAACCCAATGTGAGCTCCATCTCTTCTTCTCGGAGGACCCTGACCCAATAAACACTTCAGTGCAGTGTCCCGATCAGAAACATACACACTCCTCGACTCTGACAGTTCACCTCCTGGTTTACACCATTAACTGACTGGCAGGTTAACTAAAAAAAATTAAATAAAGCTGAAAGTAAAAGTAGGAGATAACACTAAGCACACTGAAGACAGATGACCGTCACCATCCAAATCAAGTATGCCTGCATACCAAAGCATTTGTCAGTCCAGAAGGGGGGAGGGACTCCTGCAGGAAGCCTATAGATGAATATAGGAAGCTTTAATCACGTTTAATCAAGTAGAAACATGGATAAAGCACAGCCAAATGTCTTTCTTTGCACCATTTTGGAAGGTCTGTGGGGAAAACAAATGGAGTGAAGAGTCAGCATATTGTCCCAGCACCTCACAGTACCCGATTTCAGCGGAGACTCCTGAAGGTTCCTCAAACGTCCTAAAAAAAAATTGCAGTGCCGATGATGCAGGGGCTTCTCATGGCTGTAAAATAAACGCGGGTTTTGTGGTGCTAAAAAAAGTTGGGTCAAAAGCAAGAGCACGATGGCTAGAAGAATAGGCCTTCAAAGCTCCCTACTTCACTCTGTTCTTTCACAAATATTTCAAAGTACTGGTAGATAATGGTGACGGCCAGCAGGATACCAGTGCCAGAGCCAATGGCTCCAAGGAAGTCTGCCATCACTGACAAACCACCGATACACAGTCCACCAAAGGCAGCAGCAGTGGGAATGTATCTAAAATGAAAACAGAGAAATTAAGGAAATTACACACCCTGTGTTTTTTTGTTGAAAATGCAATCTGTAGTAAGGATGATAGCATTCACATATACGGCTTAAGAAAAAAGAAGAAGAAAGAAAGGGAATACGCAATCAGTTTAACATAAAGACACAAAGTCAGTTAAAATTAATAAATATCACCCTGTCAATTTAGAAAGCACAAGCCATTGTGAACTCATTTCATCTACTGTGGTGTAAATGAAAGTGACAACAAATGAACTGGAGACAACAATAATAATTTCTCCAAAAGGGAATGATTGTAGTCACCAAACTCTTTCACAGAGTTTTTACTAGTGTCTTTTTTGTTCACTGCTGGCACCATGAGACAATTCAAGTTCCAGCTCTTCCTGGATGGCACATTGAAAAGTGCCGCTGCACCTACCACAGTCTCAAGAGTGTGGAGGAAATAGTAGGAGAAGATCATCAGTTCAGCAATAGGAGCTGTATCTGCTCCAGCACTGCCAGAGCCCTACAAAACGACCTACCCCCCAACCCTCCATGTGCATTATTCCAACTAAAGTGTCAGATACAGACTCGACAAGTGTTACACAAAGGCCGCAATCCTTTAGTGGAACCTGTGCCAACAGACTGGCACCATGCAGTTTGACTGGCATTCCCCCAGAGAAAACCAGAGCTGGCAGGTTCGCCACTGGCGCCCTATTTTCTTCAGTGATGAAAGGAAGGAAGTTCACCTCATGTGAGCATGTGAAAGACAGACGTTCATGCTTCCTATCCCTGACTTTGTGTTATACACTGATGATCATGTTCCCTTACATTTTTGAGAAGTGTACACTCACTTAACTAAGTAGTGCTTAAAAGAGCAGTTTAGCAAAAAGTGTGGGTTGGCATTATTTATATGTAGGAAATGTGAAAAGCAGTTATATGGAGGCTGTGTCTGGATGAACTCATGACATAACCTCCTGAACCAGAGCATTGCATAACAAACACTTGAAACACAAAATTGTTCTGTATATTTTGGGAAGCTGGCGAAAATCTAGAAGGTCAACAGGTGTAACAGATCTTGTATTTTACCTGTTAAGCTCATGGACCATTGAGGTCTCTCTGTGTCCCCTCATCACCATCTGCTGCTCCTTCAGCTGTTTTGCAACCTGCATGACAGGAAATGGAATAGAGCTCTAAGAACGAGTTTTCTTGAAACAATGTCATAACACAACCTACTAGAAAGCAGTAATAACTTACATCTTTTGCAGAGGAGCCTGATACTTCAATCCAGGTTTTGGAGAAAAAGGCACATGAACCAAGCATGAAGATGATGTAGATTACTGCGTGGACTGGGTCCTCCAGAACAGAGCCAAATGATTCAGGTGGAGAGAAGTAGTAACAGAGTCCCCCGACTGGGTAAGCACGGGCCGGGCCACCAGACGATGTGTCCTGGGAAAACGGGAACAAAACGTACTCCATCAGTCACTAATGTTAACATGATAATGAGTTGTCAGACTCCGGTACAATCTTTCCACAATTTTATTTTGTTCCCTTTTATCAATAACCAAAAATATCCAAGAATAGGCTTGTCCTGGCACACAGGTGTGAATGTCATGGTAAGCTTACATAAATGCAGCTTGTGTAGTTAGAAAAATATGGTTAAAAAACAAAACAAAACTGACTGTTTGAGAGGAGGTAGTTTTTTATAAAGAAGATGGATCGCCAAACCATTAGCAGAGGCATTTATTTTTGGGTTGTTAGATGTTGGGTCTTTTTGCACTTTAAATAAGGCATTTTGCAGGTCAACACACTAACAAACTGAACTGAAGAATCTATAAAACGCAAACATGTACTCACAGACCACGTTCCGAGCAGATTAACCAGGAAATTGCCACTGAAGCGCGTGGAGAGCATCTGGGAGATCACATACAAGTTGGAGACCAATGCAGACTGCAGGATGATGGGAATGTTGGAAGTATAAAAGAGCTTGATGGGGTAGGTGTTGTACTGTCCACGGTAACGAGCTGACTTGATTGGCAGATCCACCCTGAATCCCTGTGAGAAGAGATTAATTCATCACACTGATTTATTTTTATTTTTTTAAATACACGTTTTAAATCTCAAGTGGGTTAGTGTGAAGTCAGACAAAAGAAAAGAAAAGCAACCGACCTGAAAGTATATCACTACAGCAAAAACAAAGACTGTAGCAATCAGGTTCATGAGGTTGGGCAGGTTCTGTCTGTAGAAGGCCTCTCTCAGAGCACGCACTTTGTCAGTCCTTGTGGCAAGCAAATGGAAAAGAGCAATGATCGCACCCTCAAACTCCGTGCCTGGAAACACAGAAAAAACCCCTCTCAAATTAGAAACCTCGTTTTGGATTGCAAAGATGCAACATGGTTTTTGAAAATTATTATTTAATTTAAAAAAAAAAAATCACTTTGTAAAAACCAATTATTGGTTCCTTACCTCTTCCAGTGTTCACAGTAGTGGGACTGAAGGCCTTCCACACAATCGTTTCACAGATGTTGGTAGCAATGAACAAGGAAATGCCTGAACCAAGACCATAGCCCTTTTGGAGCAACTCATCCAGCAGCAGCACAATCAGCCCAGCCACAAACAGCTAGAGAGAAACGTAACAGTTCGAGTCATATGAGATTGCTATGGAGATTTGCCATGTTTGGAAAGTTTTGAGTATCGACTCCAACAAACACATTACGTCTTCTGTTTTTACATTTAAAATTAATAAAAAATTATGTAGGCTTGTGGAATGAAAGATTAATAAAAAAAATAATACTGACAGCAGATGGGATACATTCAAAAATTTTACTCCACTTCGTTCACATTCACAAGATTATAAGAAGCTGTGGTGACAGCAAAACCCCCTCAGCTCACAACCCCAGCAGGTTGTGAGCTGAGCAGAATAAATGAAAAAGAAATGATTTCAGTTGATTCATTTTTTTTGAAAATTACTGCATCTATACCTGTTGTTACGTTATCAATGAGTATAACAGTTACCCTAAATGATAAATAAAGCCGAAAATAACTGAAATTTAATTATGTTTCCTAGCCCAAAGATTTCTTTAAAGTACCAGTAGCGTCATCTCAGTAACAGAAAGTACAGCGTATGTGTGCTGTAGGTTGAGAGCGTGAAAGTAACATCTCCTTGGGAGTATATTTATACTCACAGGTTTAAAACTATTACCAACTAATAACAATTTTAAAAAGGCTGATTTTAATCAAAGGGTTTTCACTGGTATTCTTTGAGTGTTTATGAAAAGGTAGCAGACAAGGCTTTGGGAAAAGACAAGCTGGAAAAAAAAAATCTCCATTGCCTCAGCCTTTTGTAAAGAAATTAGAATTTTGTATTGCTGTATAATCAACTACTAATCACACAACTCGAATATGAATGCTGAACCAGACCTTGTACTTAGTTACCCTGTATTTGACAGAGTAACTAATGAAACCTCTCTCTGAAATGCGCCTTGTGCACTTCTTTAATTGTGATGTCAACGTTAAGTTTAATAAGAATGACATTGAATAAACAGTAATGCCAGTGTAAGGGACATGTCTGTAATAATAACGTTCATAAAAACAAAAACAACATTGTTGGAAACTCTGAGGAACCAAACAATTAATAATTAATTAATAAAACAATTTATAGCTAATTTATATACATGTCCTGACATTACACAGTTCAGGTATGTTTGCAGATATTCATCCTGTTCTCACCTGAATGATGATCAGCAGACAGATCCCTGCACCCATCTCTGACGGATCTCCGTACATGCCAGTCATCACATACACAATAGCCTGGCCAATGGTGATGATCATGCCAAACACTGAAGAAAAAAAATAAATAAATAAAAAAAAATCAGAGGTGAGAGACCCTAAAGTCTTGATAGGCAATTTCAAACTACTTCAAACCAGCACCTGAGCAGAGATTACATACATTTTTGTGCTCCATTAAAAAGCGCTCTGTCCTTTGGAGTGTCTCCAACTTCGATGATCTTAGCTCCAGCAAGCAGCTGCATGATCAGGCCTGAGGTGACAATTGGCGAGATACCCAGCTCCATCAAAGTACCTAGAAGAAAATGTTCAAGTTAGACCCCAGAAAACAGCAGACATATATTTAACTTATACACAAATATATTAAAAGGTATATACCTCTGTTTGAGGCCAAAATGACTCTCATCCAGTAGAAAGGATCTGCAGAGTCTGAGGACATTATGCCAAACAGGGGAATCTGAAAAGCAACATATTGCATTTACAGTTGAGTCTTAATTGGCTGCATGAAGTGTTGTAATTGTGTGTCCCCTGAATTCACTGGCTTCAGCTTGATACTTTGACTATTATGTAAGAAACATTCCTGTAACAGGCAACTTAATGTAATAATAACATTGTAATAATTTATGCTAAGCTTTTTTTTTACTTATTTAAGCTGTTGAGGTTTTTTCCCCTATTAAAAATATAATAAAGATGTAAATACACAAACTAAACAACAGTGAGACTCACCTGGCAGCACACCAGAAAGATGAAAAGAGTGATAGCAGTCCATAACACCTTCTCTCTGAACTGGATCTAATGGTTGAGCAAATGTAATAAGTTTAAAGG